GTTTGGATCCATTGATCAATAAGTATGTCATCTAAATTTAATTGCTTAATTTTTCTGACTGCGTTCGGACCTCTGAACAGCTCAATTTTTTCCATCATACTCCGCCGAATGATTGATTGATACTGATTTTGCATTATTCGTTCAATTATGTATCATCTGTCAATTTTACAGGAGTGGGGAGGACCTCAGATATTACGTTTACAGACCGATTACAGCTAATAATTATACAACACAATACCCACCTACAAAACATAATATTGCCATAGATAAAATATAGTATAATCACCATTTATATTCGCTAATTTTATATCTCACCCGAATTGTCGTAAATTAGTATATTCACCATTTGTATTCTATAATTTTTATATTATTACTCGAACTACCGTAGATACGCATATACAGAATAATAGTGCTGTATAGTAATTCACGTTCAGTCTATGGTCATATTTAATCAGAGAAGATTATATTGAGGATGTTTGATGGTTTGGTCATACTGTAAGAATGGTATACGTTCTTTGAATAATCATGTTCTATTTCTAGTAATACTTCATACGTGGATGTACGTTATATATCGTTTGCAACGTAACCTTTCGCATTGTTTCAAGAGAGAGAGAGAGAGAGAGAGAGAGAGAGAGAGAGAGAGAGAGAGAGAGAGAGAGAGAGAGAGAAGCTGTGTGTCTTTTTTACGATGTCAGGTGCTAGATGTGGTCGACAGGTGGCGTGACGAGACGATAAACTGTAATAGACGCGGAATCTCATTCAAACTATGTCCAATATTTGATATAGCACCGTTTTTTTTTTTTGGTGATGATTCTCTGTTAGCCTCACTTTCCTCCAATATCTATTATGCTAAACAAAGATCCGATATAGCACCGTTTTAGCAATGTCTTTTTGTGTTACATATTTCTCCTCCTCTTTCCAAAGCGCCATCGTACTTCATGATCGGGCCTATAGCAATAAAGATATGATGTAATGTCCTTTTGACATTGTCTTTGTTGTTTTTTGTCTTAACATATTTCCCGTCACCTCCCCTTTTCATTTAACGTATTACACGTAGTAATCTGACCAATAACAACAGAGATACGACTTTTTTTGTCTTAACATATTTATCACCCCCTCCCCTTTTCGTCGATACCTCAGACATTGAGCCGTTAGGACGTTACAAACGTAGCGCCGATGTCTTTGCGTTTTATTTTTATCTTAACATCACACATTGTTGTACGTTGTTGTACATTGATGTACGTTGAACCGTTTGGACGTTGCAAGCTTAGTGTCCTTCTGGCATTGTCTTTTGCGTTTGCTTTTTATGCTAATATATTCATTACCACCTCCCCTTTCCATCGATACCTCACACGTTGTTGTACGTTGAGCCGTTTGGACGTTGCAAGCTTAGTGTCCTTTTGGCACTGTCTTTTGCGTTTTGTTTTTATCTAAACATATTCGCTACCCTCTTACCATTCCAACGAGCCTTCATACGTCACGATCTGACCAATAACAATAGAGATACGATATAGCGCCGTTTTGGCACAGTTTTTGCGTTTGATTTTTATCTCAACGTGTTCCCCGTCCCCTCCGCTTTCCAACGATACCTCATATGTCGCGATCCGACGAGCCGTCGCGCCTCCACCAAAAAAAGCGTCAAAAATGAGCAGAATGAACCTTAGCGATTTCTTATGGGATTTTACATGGGAAAATACGCCGAACTCTTGTTGCCCTTTTACTATCGTGCTATTATAATTTGTTTTAGTTGTGGGGGTCGTTACATTGCTTTTGTGCTTTTCATAAACTATATTCGTGTCTAAGAAATTAGTTTTATATACAAAAAAGGTATTAATTTTTATCATGGAAGTTAATACGTCTCCTGTCACACCAACAAAGGCAAGGAAGCAAATAAGAGAATCTCAAAAATGGAAGAAAAGCGGTGCAAAACATCTAAGCTGAGTACTTTTGTGAATGTTATGATTCTATTTCCAAAATTGTTGAATTTTGATATTTTGTTTTTGTTAAAATTTAAACCAATTTCAGTATTTATGCTCATAATTATATTTTGTGGTAGATATTCTGCGAATAATATGCCAGAATACCCAACATGTGGTCACAATTTAAAAACATGTATGTGCTGCTTGCAGAAAATGAACGATATACAGAAATTTCAATTTTATGAGACCAAAGGTAAGTCTACCCAAGGTGCCTTTATTTTGAAATACTGCACTGTGAACCGTACTAATTTTTTATCCAAGGAGAAAGTTAGAGTGTGCCAAGCAGCGTTTTTCAACGTGTTAGGAATGACAAAACAGGCTTTCCTATGTGATAAAACGATTTAATGAAACAGGCCAAGTACCGATTGAAGGCAGAGGTGGTGATCGAAAAACTGCGAAATATCGGGATAAGCTGGAAGGAGTGCAAAAGTTTATAAACCAATTAAAATGTACGGATTCCTGTCGTTCAGTGACGAAAATAATGTATCTTCCATCTGAACTCAGCGTCTCAAAATTTTATTTAATGTACATTACTCACACAATTCCACCGGAGACTGTGAAGATATCGTATTTTCGCTATATATTTAACAGAAAATATAATTTGAGCTTTAAAACTCAAAGAACAGACGTTTGCTTAAAATGTTTAGAGTTTAGAGCTAAGTGATTAAATACGAGAAAAATGAGCAAAATCTGAAATTAAACTAATGACTGAAAAACGGCTCCACAAACGTCGAGCAAAAGCATTTTTCCAATTTCTTCAAGAAAATAGAGAAGACCTAGTCACTTTGTCGATTGACTGCCAAAAAAATTTGGCCTTCCCCAAAGTTTCTGATCGAAGACCAAAGACCATTATTCAAGGCAGCATTATTTTTATAACTTTACTGTTGTTGAAGGTACTACAAAGTCTCCACTTTCAAAGGAAAATGTATTTTCATACTGTTGAACTGAGGACATGTTTGGCAAGGGATCAAATGAAATTTCCTCTGCAGTCTTTCATCGACTCAATGACACTGATTTTGGCAACATGTAAAAGAAGGTATGACTGGTTGCCGATGGATGCAGGGTCCAAAATAAAAACTCCATAATGATTATGTTGTGAATTGTGTATTATGAATTGTATAACTATAATATAATCTTGGCAGTTTCCTACGTGCATACGTATTGTTGGTTATATAACTAAAAACCATTGTGCAGTCTCTTTGTGTCGCTGTATATTATATGAAAATCACAAAGTTCTAATAAATAACCTAGAGATCGAACTCTTAACCACACTATAAATGTTGTCTACACTCTGTCTTAACGATCTTACTTAAAACACTTAACCTTAAAATCACTCACACAAAATTTTATAACTGTGCAAGTATAATGTCTACTTTTGCCCCCTTATTTGTGCCCACCTAGCGGAAAATGCAGAAAGTACAAAGATGGGCAGAATATATCGACAAATTGTTCGACACGCACTAAAAACAATGAAGAGTGGGAAAAGCCCTGGACCTGACGTGCTTCTTATAAAAAACCTAAAAATTCTAGATGAGAAAGAAGCACATTGATGTTTTAGTGACACTCTTGAACCAAATTTATAGTTCAGGCGTATTACCCAAAGAGTGGTTAACGTCGATTTTTATTTGTCTTCCCAAAAAGAAAAACGCAAGAGAGTGAAGCAATTATCGCACTATTAGCTTGATCTCTCATGTGCTAAAGTTACTACTAAAGGTCATCCATAACCGAATATATCACAAATTGGACATAGACGTTAATTATACACAATTTGGTTTTTGCAAAAGCTTGGGTACGCGTGAAGCTCTTTTTTTACTTAATATACTGATACAAAGATGCCTGGAAGCCAATTAAGATATATACGCGTGTTTTATTGATTACAATAAAGCATTCGATTTAGTACGACATAACCAATTAATGAATGTCCTAAAAGCAAAGAAGATTGACTACAACGACTTCAGGATCATATAAAATTTATACTATAAACAGCCAGGAAAAGTACGTGTTAACGAACATCTGTCAGAATAAATTGAAATTAGATGTAAAGTGAGACAGGGATGCGTATTCGCGCCAATTATTTTTAATGCCTACTCCGAAGAGATCCTGACAACGCTCTTGAGGGTGCCACAGCTGGAATAAAGGTAAATGCAGTTCCCAGAAATTCCGATGTCAAAATACAACTTTGAGAAAGAATTAAATAGAATTAAGCAAATAACAGTAAACAACGGATACAACGAACAAACAATTAATAAAATGTTAAATCACAAACTACACAAGAAAGTCCTGAAATTAGTATTTCCACCACCAGAGAAAAAACCCAGTACCTTCTGCTCGATTACATATACAGGCAAAATAACAACAAAAATTGAAACACATAAAAAAGAAAGGAATAACACCAGCTTTCCGAACAAATAACAACCTAGGCAAATATATTAAAAATAACAAGAGCCAAAATAAAAAACACTTAAATAGTGGTGTGTACAAACTTCAAGATGGCGACTGCCAAAAACTTACATCGGTCAAACTGGTAGAAACTTTAATAAACGAATAGCAGAACATAAAAGGGCTTTCAAGAATAGAAAAACAGATTCGACATACGCACTTCACCTTCTAGATCATAATCATTCTTTTAATGACAAATTTAAAATTCTTCACATTCAAAATAAAGGCCTTAAGCTATCTTTGTTAGAATCTATGGAAATCAACAAATTAAAAAACACAGATATAATTCTGAATGACCAACTTGAGACAAACAGTTCTCCCCTCCGCAACCTATTTCATTAGAGACTATAAATTTGTAAACCCAAGCCAAAATAGATCACTTGAGAAAGGCAATCAGCCGAAACAGCTGTAATGATAAGATTTAAAATAAATTTTGTGGAAGTTTGAAAACAAAGTTTTCAGTGTTTTATTGTTACACAAAATAAATTTCCATCAAGTAACGGTCGAATTTATCAATTATTTAAAACTATATGAACTCATCTATAGAGTTTCTTATTGAGAAGAAATAAAACAACTTGTCTTTTAAAATTCTTTATTACAACAATTTATTAACAAAATAAATATAACTGCCATGTTTGCATCAATAAAAACAAACCAGTATTCTCAATACGAGAGGAATAAAAAAAAGTTTTTAGAGCTTGTGAGTTATCATCTAGATCGTTAAACCTTATTGTTGATGTTTCTTTTATCAAGAATAGAACTATGTATAGCAGATACAAAAATTAGCAGAAACTTCTTTATTGTTGTATAGAACACTGGAAGGAGGAACAATAGTAAGGAAACAGCATTCTATTTAAGTTTATTAAATACACAAGTTAGAATTCTTTTTTTATATACTAGTAGTAAAAATATGACACAAGAAGGCTACTTTTGACTTATTTGTAGTGTAACATAGGATTTATGTGCGTTTCTAAGCATTCCATATTGTATTGTTTATTTATTTAATTTTATTTATCAAATGAAAATGATTGTTTTTAGGACATTTCATAGTTAATGCTGTAATTTCTTGCATCATAAATTTACTTAATTTTAATATTATTTAATAACTGTCTTCAAAAGCTGTTTTTAAGTTTGTCTACATACTTATTGGTAATGTGTAGCTGGTTTTATGACGTTTTGAAGTAGAAAAGAGCTGTGAGCTTTGAAGTTAAAAAAAAAATTCAAAAAGACGAAGGTGTTTGTAATGCTAGCAAATTGAAGTTATAAATGATTCCTCGAAGGTCTAATACAATGTAAGTGATTATAAAATGGATAGTAAATAATCTGCTAACTTAATACTTTTCTTTATTGCTTACTTTAGTCCAAAACAAACAAAATTTAATGTTGAAAAAGAAAGATGTACAAAACAATTTCAATTTGTTAATGTATGAAGTCCTTTATATATACAAAAAGTGGAGTTGTAAAGCCAAATAGAATCAACTTGAAAATAAAATTTTGCTTCAATCATTTAAAATTATGAAATGATAAAAAATTTGTCTCAGACTATAGAAATAAAAAACGAACAAAAAACGTTTAACAGAATTTTTCTAGATCTGAAATTATAGTGTTTAGTTCTTCCTTAAAACTTTAGCAATGTCTAAACTACGTACAACTCAAAAGAATATATTTAATTAAGTTTACTTCACATTCTCTTTTTATTCTTCAGTATTTATTCTTATTATCTGACATAGCATCTTTGGTATGTATCAATTTTGATCTCACTTTGTGTGTTAAATTGAAAAAATAAATAATACATCGTATTATTAAAACCTTAGATCACAAAATAATTCCTGTACAAAAATATATACAACCTAAGATGGAACTTTTTCGCCTATATATACAATAAAGAAAGTTAAAACTAATAAACAAAGGGAGTTTTATTCAATTGGTAGAGTCTTAGAAATATAATATATTCGTTTTTATAATAGTTTGTATTTGTTGTACTCAATATCCGAATTTGGCCATTGACCGAAATTTATAGCCACAGCGCGTTTTGAATGGACCACAGGAGTAATGACGTAGATTTTATTGACATCTGTCAGTTTCACTTTCCAAACAAACCTTGTTTAGTGTGGATAATTTGTATTTTTAGTTATTTTTTCATTTATTTTACGGAATCTTTCCGATTTTTGCAATATTTAAATATTCTAATAGTTACTACAACAATTTTACAAGGTTGTGTAAATAATAAAGCACATTGTTTTATGCGAATGGTAATAAAATGCATGTATCAATAAAGTAAGGTTAGAATTTCTTTAGTTTAAACTTTTAAACTATATTTCATAGAAATAGAACTCTGAATTATGATGGTATTATCGTAAAAACCACTATTCTTACAAGAAAAAGCAGCAGAGGAAGCAAAATGTTAACTTTATAGACATTAAAAAGTCTTGAGATTGGACATTTAAACTTTTGTTTGGAAAGTAATGAAAATGTGACAGTTGTGACGTCACACTCCTGCGGTCCATTTCGTTTATTTCCCACATCGCGTTTCGAGTATTTTTCACGTGCACAGAACGCATTGTGGATAAATGTCAATGACCCATTTGACGAAGGTCGTCGGAAACACACGACGAATATAGTTTTATGGCCAATATAAATACCCACAAAGGGAAATACAGAAAACGCATAACGAACTTTACCGGTAACTGGTCTTTTATACAGGTTAGTTTCTAATTAGGTTTTAGGGTTTTTTTTTAACTATGCGTTAGGCACAGCCTTTAGCTCTCTCTCTCTCTCTCTCTCTCTCTCTCTCTCTCTCTCTCTCTTAAATATTATTTTATTGTTTATAGGAACCGAAAAACTATAACTTTTTTCTACACCTCTACGGTCTTTTATTTCGCCTTTCAGGATCAGTTGTAATATTTTATATCGACTTCCCCTTACTGTATGTCCCAGATAAGACATTTTTCGACGTTTAACAGTCTTTAGCAGTTCTCTATCTTTGTTGATGCTCCTTAGTACTTCTTCATTAGTTTTCCTTGCTGTCCAAGGTATCTTCAGCATTCGTATATAAACCAACATTTCCATTGCTTCAATTTTGTTCATGATCGATACTTTTAGGGTCTACACTTCTGCACTATACAAAAATACGGACCAAACATAGCACTTAACCATTCTTTATCTTAGTTCTAAACTGAGACGGTTATTGCAAAGAAATGACTTCATTTTCATAAAAGTAGCTTTAGTCATTGCTGTTCTACGTTTTATTTCTATATCTGGATTTAGTTGGCCCGTTATTACAGTTCCCAAATATGTCGTTTTGTGAACTTTCTCAACTTGGACTCCGTTTAATTGAAGCTTTGCTTCGGGATGTGGGTCACGACCAAACACTAAAAATTTGGTTGTATTTGAGTTTATTTTAATGCCCATTTCGTCTCCTACCTCGTGAATATGATCAAGCAGAAGTTGAAAACCTTCAATATTATCTGATAGAATTACTGTATCGTCTGCATCTCTAATCACATTAAGTAGTTCCCCGTTGATTTTTATTCCATATGGCTGTCTCTCACTTAAAATAAGTGATTTTTTAAATAACTAGCCCGAGTAAACATTGAACAATGTTGGCGAAAAAATGCAACTTTGTCATATTGTTGTATATAGTTGTATAGAGATATCATCGGTGTAGTTATCTCCAATTTTTGCGGTAGCAGTTTGATTCCAGTACAAATTTTTAATAATACGAATATCCTTGTCATCTATTCCCATATTTTTCAGTATTTGCATTAATTTTACATGTTGTACTTTATCGAATGCCTTTTCGAAGTCCACGAAACATGCAAATACATCTTTTCTTTGGTCACGGCATTTTTGTAATAGCATGTTAAGCGCAAAAAGTGCCTCCCTGGTTCCCATAGCATTTCTAAAACCAAATCTTCATGATCTTCTTCGCATTTGCGTCTTCTTCTGTTGTAAAGTCTTCTGAGAACAATTTTAAGAGTGTGTGTTTTTTAGGTATTGCGACAAAGATGGATTTGAGCCAATCTGTGGGAATCACTCCGGTGTTATATATTGAATTAAAAAATCTTACTACTACTTTTATGTTATCATTCTCTATTAGTTTCAGCAACTCAGTTGGTGTATCATCTGGACCACAAGTTTATCTAATTTTAGCATTATTTATAGCGTGTTTAGCTCGCATTCCATAATTTCTGGGCCGTCAGTATAGTTTTGGTAGAATTCGGCAATATTATTCCTGTAATCTTCAAACAACTCTGATATATACAGCTGCCATTCTTGTCTTATTCCATGCTCATTTACAATAATTTTGTTATTATTGTCAACGAGTACAGAGGTTACTCGTTTTTTAAATTAAATTCGAATTAAATACGTCGTGTTTAGATATTACATCCTCCATTTCGTCGCACCTTTCTCTCATCCATTTTTCTTTGGCTAATCGGATCCCCTTTTTTATTCTTCTCTGCAGGTGTCTATATTCTGTTTCATTAGATTTTATCAGTCGACGTTGTTCCATTAATTTCAAGATGTCGTCTGTCATCCTCATGTCAAGCCTACAATTTCTAAATAGATGAACTGTAGATGTCAGGTAACTATAAAGAGCTTATAATTTTTAGATATAAAAAAATAATTATTCGTATTGTAGGTTGACCTGATAGATATACAAACAGAACCCGATGGTCCATATAAATTTATTTTAAACTACCAGAATCATTTAACTAAATTTTTGTTTTTGAGACTATTGAAAACTAAAACACCACTTGAAGTGGCTGACCACTTGGCTGATATTTTTTGTCTAGTAGGTGCTTCATATATCTTGCAAAGTGATAAAGCCGTGAGTTTGGCAACTCTCGGTTATTGTAGAACTAACTACTATGTGGCCTGGTTTGAAAATAGTTCACCAAGATACTCACAAAGTCAAGGCTCTGCAGAAAAAGTTCTACAGTCCAAGTAAAACAGATCTTTTCATAGAGGCATTAGTAGGAACCTTTATGAGGCCATGTTTGGCAGCAGACAAACAAATAGTTTAGAAGATGCAGACCTGCCAGAAAATGTCCTTAATAAAGTGCAAAATAAAAACGACTTGGAAGAATTAACAAATAGCATAGAAAACGAACATGACGATGATTATTTAAAAAATGGAGAAAAAACAACAGTGTAGAACAATGCCAAGAGAATTTAGATAATCAAGACAAGTATTTGAATGAATCTTTAGAAAACCTAAACAATAATAACCAGATTAAAAATAATGAAGATGCACATGAATATACAAAGTTCACGGCAATTTCAATGATCAGTTAACCCAAAGAAGTAAGAGAATATTGAAGAGAGAGAAGAATCACATAAAATGATGATAGTTCAGGCATCAAAGATGATATGTAAGTCAAATAAAAGATTTGCTCCTTTAAAATAAGGGACTAATGTTTTGATTCGAGTGCCGGATGTTGATAGAGATCGATTAACTCCGAGAAATGTATTAGCCCTTGTTTCTAAAATTAATAGTGATGGCTTGTACAAACTGAGTACTGAAAATGGACCACTGAACAGATTATTTTCAAGAAATAAACCTCTTCAATTTCGCAATTCATGTTTGAATCAAATGATATTAGTAGTAAAAAAATATCCTTGCGAATTGCAGCAAATATGTCTTCCAAAGGTTGTGGTCAAGGTTTTCTCAGATGCAACTGGTAAAGGTTTTGTGGCGACAATAAATGTTCCTGTAAACAAAGGAACAAACAATATAATTCAAAGTATCATGGATCGCTGACATGCAAAAATTAATGAAGAAATTTGCTTCTAAAAATTTTTGCGTTTAAAACTTATTTTTGTCTGCATTTTTTAAATAAAATTAAAGTTTCGTTTTGTGTTTGTGTGGGTAAGTGGATAAACGAAATTCACAATGTGTTGTGGGTATAAATTTCGCTCAATAGCCGAATTCTATTATTGAGTACAACATATCCATTATATATTGTTTTCGTAAAAACCTGGAACATGAGACACTCTATTGACGAAAAATTTAGACTTAAAATGAAAAAAACAGAGTATATTCGGTTCGCTATTCCCAGTCCAAACTGTAATGAATTTAGTAATTATTTTTTTGCGAAGTTAGTTACTTTTTGACAGACTAAAAGTGGCTGGAAATTACTATACAACCAAGTGCACGTACTCATAGCCAATATTAATAGTAAACAAACTAAATAGTAAATAAAATAGAACTTTGCGAATTACCGACAATCAATATTTATTTATCTGCACCATATAATGTTAAATTATAACAACTAAAATATATTTTTTAAATATATACTACCCAAAATTTGATAGGTTTAGTATACACTTCCACTATTTAGATTAATTCTTCTTTTTTCAAAGAAAGAAGTCTGCAATAGTAGTTTACTTGAGCTATTAATATTAAGAAGTAGGAATTGTTGTGTTGTAGGTTTCCGACAATGAATCTGTCAAAATATGCCCGAGATAAGCGAATGGAGTATACCTGAAATGTTCATTTAAAGAGGTAGCTGCCTCTACAACTAAGATAATATCTTTGGATGTTAAAGTAATTTTGAAAAGTAATAGTGGATAGTAATAGTGAGGATCGGTATTTTAGAGTAATTAAAACACATGGGGACGCATGTAGTAGAGTTAAGATGAAATAAATCATTAATTGTATTTGTGTGAAATAATAGACACAAAATTTTTTGTTGAAGATGTGTACTGTGGGTTGCATAACTACTAGTAACTAAAAACGTCCCGATTGAGTAGTTCCAAATTATCTTTAATGGAAACTGTATTTGTTTCCAGTTAGAATAGTTCACTTTAAGATTTTCATGATTTTCGTCCATTCTTAATTCCCCATTTCAGTAAATGGCAAATCCTTATTAATTCTCCTTAGTTTAATATATAGATATTCTTTTTAGAGTCATTGGTTTCTTTTCACAGGTTATAAAATTAAGACAGATATTTGTACCAATTAAATAAGACTACCTACAACTATATTATAACAGTCGTGTAAATGTCCGAAAAAATTCCTTCTCTAGCAAACTGGCTGGTGTATTAATACTGATAATACAGTAGCTTTAAATTTCGATACCGTTTCTTTTGGCGGCTACTGTAGCCTTTCAAGCCTATTATCTCTCCAGACTAGGTTTCAAGAAGTGCATTAGCTTATTGAGAACCTTCCCCGTAGGTAAATTTAGTTCCACCAGCCCACACTTTCTACTCAGTCTATCGTACACAGATTTCACACCACTAGTGAGCCCCTCCTTAAATTTATACGCCGTCCGGTCGACGGTGGAGGATGTCTTGATGCAATCGTCACCACCAAATTCGCAGATGCGATAGTGGTGAAGAATTGCTGTGTCGGGGGGCACGTTCATGGTACCGTGGCCAGGGATGAACTCCCATATAAAGTGATTGCCTGCTTCTACGGTAAGTTCCGGTCGGCAGATGTATTTGGATCGCTGCTTCTGTGGATGGAGTTTCGTCTTTCGGCGCGTCTTCTTCATCGTAATCAAGTTGGCGGTCACTGGATCGTCGAACTCATACACCGAGTCGTCGTCGTCCCACTGGAGATAGAAGAAGGCGTTTTGGAATGAGAAGGAGGCTGTAGTGCGGCCATTGACCCGTTTATTCAAAGTTCTGAAACGAAAGAACATTGTTATTAATAAAAATACCATATCCGTTTAACAATCACTCAGACATCCTACAAAATAGTTCAACGTGAATATAGTACAACGAATAACCTTCCTCGGAACAAAATATTGGTGTTTGGTAGTGTTGATATATATATATATATATATATATATATATATATATATATATATATATATATATATATATATATTAATTAATTAAGAAGCAAATTATGTCGACAAGCTTACTATAAGTAACTAATAGTAAAATTGCAAGGCACAAGAACTTTTCATTGAATGTTCATCTGGTGAACATCTGTTGCAATCTGGCAACTGGTAGTTTGAGGGTTCGGATTCTATTGCCAAATCTATCCATTAATCTATCAAAGGCGAATTACCAAAAAAATACCTAATCTCATATTTTTTTCTGTAATATGGCTTTGGCAGAGCCAATTAGCCAGATTAACTGCAATTAAAAATTAAAGAACCAAATAACCAATCATTCGTTTTTTATATAGATTAAAAAAGAGCAGAAGCTATAAATAGTATAATAAAAATGTACTAAGAATCTTTCTTCGCCTATACACTCCCATTTCCTTTATCCTGTTGGCGACGAAGAAATAAAAAGTATAATTAAAGATATCTCAAAAAAATCCTCGGCTGGACTAAATGAGATCCCGTATTCTATGTTAACACATGTATCTCATAACATATATAAACAATTGAAGTGCTTAGAATGAAAGGGCCAAGTGCAATTTTTTTAATATCTAGTTAAATGTAGATTTGAATATCTAAAGTATAGTTTTAATAATTTTTAAATTGATCTAAGTGATTTTATACATAGACTGCCATCTACCAGGCTTTGAAAAAAGTTTGATAAATAAAAACATAGAAACCTGCAGTTTAAAATGGATCCAAGCGCAGTTGGTTCCATTGTACACCATTGTATTCCAACTTCCAACTGAATTCAGTCAGTATCACGTCAGTGTACTATAATAGAAAGTAACATATATTATCACCTTCGATATTTATTGCTTAAATTGTATATAAAACGATAGAAATAGTTTAAAAAAAATAATTTAAAATGCATTATAGCAGTGACAGTGAAGGTAAGTCGGCCAAATTGCCAAAATATATGTCATTATTTAAGGAATTTAAAATTGAGCACAAGATACTTGGCTCCGAATTTGAATTTAAACAAAATGTACCAGTTATATGTTCAACAATGTGAGGAACTACATGAGGATCCAGTTAAACTCTCATATTATAGACATATTTTTAACACGGAATTTAACCTAAGATTTAACAGGCCAAACTTAGATACATGCAGTAAATGTGACGCCTATAGAATATTCAGCAGATGCAGAAAAAGTAAAAATAGCCAAATTTAATCAAGAGTTCATCAACGGAAAGCAAATATGGCTGAACCAATGAAAAACAAGATAGTCAAAAATACAAAGCATCTGTAGATACGAACGTAATCTGTTTTGATCTTCAGCAAACCCTTTCCACTCCCTTAATAACTACTTCCAAAACGTTTTATTTGCAAGAACTTTGAACGTATAATTTTTGCGGTCACAATATAACCACAAAAAGATCAGAAATGTATATCTGAGATGAATCCATTTCAAGCAGGAGATCTCAAGAAATTGGTTCGCGTCTTATTCATTTTGTAAAAAACATACTCTCTAAAGGTGTTACCAAGATCATCGCATATAGCGATTGCTGCCGAGGGCAGAATAAAAATTAAAACCTTGTAAAGCTGTATATGTTCTTGGTTAATCTACTTATGTTCAAGAAATTCACCACAAGTTTTTGGAACCAGGCCATACATTTATGGAGTGCGATAGGGATTTTGGTATAATGAAAAAAGTGAAGCGTAAGAATCCACAGGTATTTATTCCAGAACACTGGGCCAAGCTAATTCGATCAAATGCAAAAAGTTGTGTAAACCGAATGAATCAAGAAAACTTTTACAGTTTTTAAACTAAACAAATTTATAAGAAAAAAAGACAGTAAACGTGTTCTTTTTAAATGAAAACCAGTGAAACATTTTTGAAAAATGAAAAATCTTTCGAAACATTTTTGTTTTCTATTAAGGAAACAATAAATGAAGAGTTTCTATTTTTTTACATGTGTATGTGTACAAAACAGAGCTGGACGTCCTACTGTTACCATGGAGAACATGTTTTAAATAAATCTTAGCGCCTAGTCGATAAAAATCAATAAATTGAAATGGGACAATATTTAAAACCTTCTTAATTTTATTCCACCGGTTTTCCATGAGGTCTACAACAACCTTCCCAATGAACACAAGAAAAAATCAAAAACTAATACAGTCAACAAAGTGTCTGAAGAAGGATTTCAAGACAAAACTAAAACGTTTTTAGTCGGCATCGCAGCAAACTCAGTTTGGCGAAGACATAGAAGATACAACAGTGCTCAACTCTGATGATGAGTGAAACTTTTAGTCCAAATAATAATTGGTTGACCGTTCAGAATAAGAAAGGTCCAAGTGCTTTTTTTCAAAATAAAGTTGAATTGGTTATTTTTTTGAAAATTTGTGTAGGTGTAATAATTTTCTGATCCTTTAATAATATAATACTATGTACGACCGTAGCTAATGTATAAGGAATTTTAATTATTCAAAAAACTTTAACCTTAAATATCTCAAAACTAGTTTTATTCTAAGCCTCTCAATTAACATTTCTAGCAAACCTTTTATTTCAGGAAGAGCTTTTTCCTCAAATTCTAAATACTGCTTTAGTTGTGCCTATACATAAAAAAGGTGACAAATCAAATTTGATAACTATCGAGGCCTATCACTTTTATCTGTGTTTTGAAAAATATATGACAAGGCATTTCATACACGTCTTCTCTCGTATATTAAAAGGCACAACATTATAGAAAAGTCTCAATTTGGTTTCCGTGAAGGTATATGTGTGCAAGATGCACTACTAGCGCTGTGTATCAATTAGATAATTTTTCTGATGCAATAAGCGTTCGAGTTGAAAACATGGAACAGCAATCAGGCTGTTATGTCACTCAATTTGCTGACGATATCACAGTTGCACTAAATTCCAATAATTTTTTTCATGTAGTACAAAAAGCAAACTGTCTTGTAAAAAGTATGACTCATTACTGTTTAAATAATGCCCTAATCTTAAATGGAGAGGTCTCGGACGTAAAAACTGTCATGGGTGCGCAATATTCGACAATGGACAGGAATCCACAGCTATGAAATGCTTCGCAATGCTGCTAAAAACAGAATTATTTAATCCAGAATATTTAACATCTCACCTGACAAGACGATGTACGGTGGACGCCTACGCAGAAATGCACGGCACCTTAAGAAGAAGAAGAATCTTAAATGGATCAAAGACAATATGGTAACCTTTTCACCTTCTACTATGCAGATGAGTCCATTAGTAAAACTTGAAAATGGGTCTGTAGTAAATAGCCACTCCATTAAGTTGTTAGGTGTTTACCTGGATTCTAATTTGTCTTGGGGCTCTCACGTTGATTATGTAGTGGGAAGATGTGTCTGTGTAGAAGTGTTTGTGCACTGTTATGTCCTATGGCAACTTAGGAATTTTGTCTCTCTATATATCTTAAAACTTTACTATTTTGCTCAAGTACAGTCACTTTTGCAATATTGCTTAGTTTGTTGGGGAAATTGCTCGCGAATTAATGAGGTTCTTGTTCTTAAAAAAAATTATTCCTACCATGACGTTTAGAAGGCGCTTGGATTCCTGTAGACCAGTTTTTAAACAATTAAGCTGTATATTTTCAGTTGTGTTCTTTATGTAAAGTCATATAGATGCAATTTTATTTGCAGAAATGATGTTTCCTTAATGAGTGGCTACAATTTTCGTCACAGAAATGATTTGGTGACCCCTGTTCGTCACTTGACCGTTGTGGACAAGGGTCCTTACCCAACATGCGTTCGTTTGTATAATAAATTACATAATTATGTTAAAGAGTCAAATATTCATGTATTTAAGAGAACAGTTAATAACTTACTTCTGGTAAACACTTTCTATTCGTTAGAGGAATACTTGCGAGCATCTTTTTAACCATTTGTATGTTTTTGTGTATATTTATGTTAACTGTTATGTTTTTATGTTAACTGTTTTGTATCTACTTATAGTTCTGATCATAGATTGTATTTGACGCATTTCAATACTTGTAAAAATCAGATGAAATAAAGAATATTGATTGATTGATTGAAAAGTTTTCTTTATAATTGAAGCAAACAACAAATACATTATAATGAGATGGCAACACTGCCATACACCAATATTGTGTTCTGTGGAGGTTCATTCAACGCTATGTTCACGTTGCACTATCTTATAGGATGCCCAATAACTCTTTTTCGACTAGTTTGTCGGTATGAACGAATGAATGAAAAATAATATTATAAAAAATGATCATTTTCATTCTGAATAAAAAAACTTACTCAATCATTTGTCCTAAAGTATCGTTGTTCTTGGGCAGAATGTACTCGTCCAAGTCTATGAGCAAAAGGTGAGTATATTTGTACATGAATCTATACAGGCAGTCGTTAAGTGCTGCGAAGAGTCCTTCAGTCCTGATATCCTTCTGTGAGACCATATCCAAATTCCAAGGAAGCACTGTCACCAGACCTCGGTCTATATAATCCCGCAGAACGCAGTCGACCTGGTTGCCTACGGTGTGGTTGTAGAACGTGAAATGATCCACTCCTAGCAGCCTATTCAGTTCTATGAATTCTATCAATTGGAGAGCCTAAAAAAGGATCAAATTAGTTGAGTATATTAACACAATAGGTTATTGATTGTGACAGTATTTATCAGCCGACTGGTGTTAATTTTCTTAGCACTGGAACCTTTTATCAATTGCTGATATATTTATAGTTTATGTATTCCCGTTCCAAACATGTGTTGTTCCAACGGTATACCGGGTGGTGAATAGTTAAATGGGCCATAGAAAATTCAGTGGGAAATCTAAACTATTAAATTCCCACTTCCATAATTATTTTACATTAAAATGAGAAGTTATCAGTAGTTGAAAATTCTTCAATAAGTTCTCGAATCACTGCAGACTTTTGAAGAAACATTTGAAAAAAAAAATAAATTCCGTTCACATAAATTTCAATGTCATTAAGAACTAAGAGAAGGAGATGCTGAGAGATGAGACGAATTTTGTTATGAAATTTTAGAGAGCACGAATGCAGACAGACAATAAAAAAACAATTTGTTCAGCGATAAATGTACATTTACATTAAATAATGAACCAATTGTTCAAAATTATAGAATTTGGTATAAATTGTCTTTGGTCTAGTGGTAAAATAGTACAAAATAGCGAATTGTTTGAATATTTGTTATAGTTTAATTATTTATTTTATTTTAAATAATAAAAATGTCCAGCTACAAATAGCAATCACGGTCACAGTAAATTTCAACTTTTTAAAAGAGTTTTGAATTGTCCTATAACCTGGAATTAGCCAATTACTGGTTATTGGTCTATCTCATACTAAAATGAGATAATGTCACGTAGAGACGAGTTAATACAGGTCATCGAAGAATTTAAGGATGAATTATATGGAAGTAGACGAGAAAATCAAACAGGAATACAAACAGTCATTTCAAAGAAGATTATGAATCAAGGTTCCGAACTAACGTCAGTGATAAAGGTAGATGAGGTTTGAAGCATTAAGAAACATGAAAAATAACAAAGCTCCAGGAGAGGATGGAATAATAATAGAAGCTATCATAAATGGAGGAGATATGCTATTAAATAAATTAAGGAAATTGGTTAATCTATGTTTGCAACAAAGAGAGGTGCCCAAAGAATAGAATAATGCTATAACCATTCTTTTGCAGAAAAAAGGAGATAGAACAGATCTGGAAAACTAGCCTATTAGCCTATTGTCTTCACTAGGTTAGTGACATCAGAATTGGAGAACAAAAAAAAAAAATAGATTTCTACCAACCGAGAGAGCAGGCAGGATTTCGTTCAAATGATGGTACCAATGATTGCCTCATACAGTAAAGACACAATGAAAAATCTATAGGTAAACCTCTTGTCCTCACTTTCATAGAATTCCATAAAGCGTTTGACACGATCAAAATAGACAGCTTTATAGGAGCAATGAATGACAGCAGATCAACCATAGGTATAGTAAACTTTTTTACAATATTTACAAAAATGCCTCTATGACTGTTAAGATACACGATAAAATCCGACCACTTAAAATAAAATGTGGAATAAGGCAAGATGATACAGTGTCATTGAAATTGTTCATAACGGCATTAGAGTATGCCTTTAAGATGGTCAATTGGGACCACAGAGGAGTAACAATAGACGGCGAAAAGTTTAACCATCCCCATTTCGGAGATGACATTGTCCTTATCACAGATAATTTAGGAGGAGCCACAGATATGTTAAATCAATTGGACTTTGCATGTTCCAAGGTGGGCCTCAGAATGAACTTGACCAAAACTAAGTTTATGATAAATATGGTGTCCAATAACAATTAAACTATTCAAAACAAAGGGGTAGAACTGGTGGAGAAATATACGAATTTGGGTCATAAATTAAGAATAAGCAGTGGGCAACATTTTGAAAACTGCGAGACACACTTAAGGCCAACATACCAATTAGCCTCGAAAGAAAAGAATTTGACCAATGCGTATTACCGGTCATGACCTATAGAGCGGAAACTATGAACAAAAACTACGGCTTCGAAATTGAGAGTCTCACAGAGACGAATGGACATTGCGGGACCAAATAAAAAACGAAGATCTGTGAAGAAGGACGAGTATTGCTGATGTCGTGGAAAGCATAGCGCAACAAAATTGGAACTGGACAGACCATGTAGCGAGAATGCACAACTCACGATGGACGAGCAAAATTACAAATTGGAGGCCAAAAGCAGACAAACGTAGTAGAGGAAGACCACCTACACGTTGGGCTGACGACATCAGGCATATCACCAAAAATTGGCAACAAAAAGCACAGAATTGTAAAGAATGGATGAGTTTAAGGGAGTTCAATGAGAATGATGGTTCAAGTATTTGGAAGATTTTAATGGTCAGTTCCAGGCGATTTACGATCGGGCTGGTTATTTGAAGCTCTGTTCGTTTATAATAGCGTCACAAATGGGATGTCTTGCACAAAAAAAAACAGCCATTATGATAAACTTTTGGGAGATATGTATTGGACTAAAATTGTTCTCATGTCGTCTGCATCAAGAAAAGAAATATTGTGATTTTTCCGAAATTTCTTAATCACTCACCAAGATGTTTGGTTCCTGCTGTTTGCAAGTTGAGAATATAAATTATGAAAGTAGGTATATATGCTTTTTCCTTTGAATTACTTGTCTGTAGGTTTTATTATGTTATAAAATTATTGTTTTGTAGGGGTCGCGGAAGTTATTTGCTTTAACAATTTTGAGACTTTGAGATCAAAGATGTATATCCAAAGGATTCAATTTCATTATCAGTTAAATGATTGCTGCTAACAAAAAGACATTTTTAACAAATGTCAACTAAAAGATGAACAATCCGTAATTGTGTTTATTTCTCATACATATTTAAAGACTTTCATATGAAAACAACTTGTTTGTCAATCTGTCATAATTAATCAGGAAAATATTTTAAATAACTCGTGTATTTTCAAGCATTCAACTCTTTCAATTAGTAAAGACGCACTGACCCACTTTCTGGATAATTGCACATCATTTTCCAACGGCAAACAAATTTTCCAACTGAGGATAAAACAGTCCGCTTTATGAAAAAGCAAAATGGCTTTTGTATAAGTACGAACATAATTATGGCATTTTCATATTTTCTGTTTTGCTAAAATCCTCCTGTACAAAGCAGAAAATGTATGTCAATGGGTTTTATTAAGTTTTTTATATACTTCCGTAAAATATTTTAATGAAATTATGTTTGGTATAGGGTAAAGGGTTTATAATGGAAGTTTAGAGAAATGTTTAGAGAAGACAAGAACTGTTCGGAATATTAGTCCAAGCGAGAAAAAAAATGAATGATTTTAAGCATAAATTAGTGAATTTTTGAAACAGAGAGGTTGGTTATATTTTTTTTATATGAAACTGTTGGTTATATTTTTTTATACTCCAGTCGTCAGAAAAGAAAATACCACTGCACCTCTAAAAATCATACAAATCATACTAAGACCACCCCAGTGACGGCTTTTGGGGGTAGGCAGGATAGGCCGGGCCTCCCCAATAATTTTAAGAGCTTTAAAATTGAAAAACATATTCAATTATTCAACAATTATGTTAATGCATGTAAATAACTTTTAAATGTACTAAATCTTGATATGATTTAAATACTACCGTCCTAATTACAAACATAATTTGCATCATTAACATTGTTGCCTATAGCATTCTGAATATATTAAATGCAAACTACTTAATCAATCCTTCTTTTTTTCTCTGCTTATGGCCAAGAATATGTTGTAGCCACGTTTGAGTTGTAATGGGACCTTCGATTTTTCCCTGTGTCAAAATGAAATGCTGTCAAATGGCTCATGTTTTGTAGCATTTTTAAATTCCTTGATATATATCGAAATCCCCTCGTATATATTTAAAACATCGAAGAATGTTTTTAGTGTATTTCATTTCCCCTTCGTACAAGTTAAAATTCCTAAAAGTGTTTTCAATAATTTTATTTGCATTGCTGGATATTAATATAAAACATTTTATAGTTTGTTTATATTTCCGTAGTTTCGATGCGTAGTTTCTCCGGCATTTCTTGTATTCGAAAGCGCTTTGGGATTTTTGTGCGTCAAATAAACAGGTGTTTCTTGGTTCTTCAAAGGGTCAGGGTTCCTTCTAGGGACCAGGATGAAGCGATTGGTACCTGATATGTACGTGTGCTCCGACTATAGAGGTATCTTTTAATCTATTTTCTGGTAAAATCGCGAAAAAATGAAAAAAACGTCGATTTTAGGGACTGAGTAACCGCTTACCACGCTTTGAGCAGGTGTTTCTTGGCTCTTCAAAGGGTCAGAGTTCCTTCTGGAGACCAAGACAAAGCGATTGGTACCTGATATGTACGTGTGCTCCAAGTATTGAAATCTCTTTCACTCGTTTTTCTAGGCAGATCGCAAGCGAACAAATCAGTTTTTTGTTGGAAAAAACTTAAATTTGCCTTTTTTTTGAGGCTCGCACTTGAAAACATGTTTTTTGGTATTAACCTACAGAAAAAAATTGTTAGTGCGGGGTACGGGCAGCAAATTGCAATATCACCATATTTGGCTCCAGTTAAGATGCGAATTTTTGTAGAATTCCTCATATTAACTTTAGCGATGCAACTAAAAGGATTGAAAACACTTTTAAATATTTTAACTTGTACGAATGAGAAATGAAATACACTAAAAACATTCTTGGATGTTTTAAATATATACGAGGGGATTTCAATACATATCAAGGAATTTAAAAATGCTACAAAACAAGAACCTTTTAAGAGAAAAAGAAGGATTGATTAAATAGTTTGCATTTAATATATTCAGAATGCTATAGGCAACAATGTTAGTGATGCAAATTATGTTTGTAATTATGACGGTAGTATTTAAATCATATCCTATACAAAATCTATATTTGCAGCTTAATTTTTGAATTTAAATATTAACAGGGTGACTATTGTAACGACCTTGAAAGTAAGCCTTTATAAAAATGATCCTTACTTAGACCCCTTAAGATTTTCCTTTAGTCTTTTAACTTTTAATTTAAATATGCGCTATGAATATAGGTTTTAAATTTCATTAAAATTGGAACAAAACTAAAAAAGATATTAAAGATCAAAATGGGTTTCAAATCAATTTGACCCACCGTGTATACCTAACGAATTGTCTATTGTGTCTTTATGTAGACTTACGTGATACAATAATGATTTTCTGACTTAGTAGATACAAAAAAAAAATAAATGACAACTTTTATTGGAACATTGCGCATTACAATAGAGTCCATTATCACCACCAACGAATTAACTTACCATACATCCCAAATACATACAAATCTGGAAATTACCATATCGTGACAAGGCACTTACCCTATTGTATTCGAAGTGCAGCGGCTTGACACAAACACCGAACTTGTAGGGGCTCGAGAGGCCAGCGCCGCCGCCTCCGGAGCTGCCCACCCCTACCGCTCCCGATGTTTCGTTATGGTTGTTAATGACCGCTAGCAGGTTCGCCGGCGGGTCTCTGATCCTGGCCACGACGCTCACCGCCACCGGTATAGTCTTGTTCGTCAAAGGACACATCACAAAGACCGCGCTATATTTGAGGTTCCAATTTTCTCGGATGACCTAAAACAAAAAACACATGTTGACAATAAGAAAAATACGTGTTGTGAAATGAAAGCGGTAAAAATATTAAAGTTACATGTATATTTCGTTTGTCCTTAGTTTCCAACTAATTATTAATAACTACTGCACATGTTTATTATAGATATAGTTGGTATTTTTGGTTACTATATTATTGTGAATTGGCAATAAGTGACAAGAGACAGACTGAAGTGCGTGTGGTCAAATGTTGAGATAGAATTTGATGCAAGTGATTACATGTATTAAAGGGAATACATGTTACAAAACTCAAAATATAATATTGGTCATCCTGACAATATATATTTCCCATATCGCCAGTACACATTAAAAACAATGAAGAATGGTAAAAGTCCTGGACCTGATATGATTCATATAGAAATCCTAAAAATTCTAGATAAGAAGCACATTGATGTTTTAGTGACAATATTGAACCAAATTTATAGTTCAGGCGTATTACCCAAAGAGTGGTTAACGTCGATTTTTATTTGTCTTTCCAAAAAGAAAAACGCAAGAGAGTGCAGCAATTACCGCACCATTAGCTTGATGTCTCATGTGTTAAAGTTACTACTAAAAGTCATCCATAACCTAATATATCACAAACTGGACAAAGACGTTAATGATACACAATTTGGTTTTCGCACAGGCCTGGGAACGCGTGAAGCTCTATTTTCACTTAATATACTGTTATAAAGTTTCCTGGACGTCAATCAAGATATATACGTGTGTTTTATTTATACTAGTGTTAAGTCTTTATTAATTCTAATTTATTGTTTTTATTTTTTATCAAAGGTTCTATAGATACAAGCATGCTATTTAGGGTGGCAGTGAATAAAATTAAAATAGCTATGATGGTAACCAACGTTCTGAAAGGACATGGTACATGAAGAAGAAGAAAGGTTCTATATTTATAACACTTACAACTTAATTTAAAGTTTATTTATAATAATTTATCTTAAAATAATAATTTATTTATACGGACGTTACATTTTAAAATACCCGTCGCGATCTTCTTTTCTGACCGATCCCCACAATGAAAATGCCGTTATTTATATGAAAATACAGCTGTTGGAATTTTTTTGAATGGAATTTCTCGAAGGATGTCGACCTTCCTAACCCTCGGCGAAAAGACTGGAATGTTCGAATGGTCGTAAAATCTAGAACATTCAGAATTAAAAAAGAATATTTACGAGACATATTAATTTATCGTAACATTGCCCCCCTCTTATAAGATGGTTCCTCCTGGAACCTTGTCGGGACTGGAACTGGAACGGCATGCTGATATCGGCAACTGGACCCTCTTTTACAACTTCCAGTTGTATAAAAATGACAAGGGACGGTTTTCTCTCCGCACCAGTAACTATGCGAATTGCAACAGACTAACACCTGGACTTCGTTGTCTTTAAAGATCTCCTCCACCATATTTCGGATAACCCTCCAATCTAATTGGCGGCACTCCAACTTTGGCATGGCTAACTTTTGCACGTCGGACTCTAGTACGTGCTCTCTCAATTGCAGTAAGGCTTCCCATATATCTCGGTAGGTAGGTTGATCACGGGCAGTGTCTTGTTACCAGGTAGAAAAGGTAACGTGATGCATCTTGGAGTTTCAAGGCTTTTCCGGGAGCTGGCACTTGGCATTAAAGTTCGATCGAACTTCCTTCGAAAGACGGATGCTAACCCTGGTGCGTCTTTGATACTGGCCGGGATGGTAAGGGCCAGTGAGTAGTCATCGGAAAGCGCGTGTAGATATTGCCTTTCTTCAGTGGAAACACCATGTCTTGCTTTTCCGGTAGCTCCATAGGTACCCATGAATTCCTCAAACGTGAGGTCAGACAAATCTTGGACTTGGTTTACTTCCACTTCTTTATCCACGTGGTGGTCACCTTCGAAAGACGACAGCCGGTTATCGTGTACTATCATCGGCTTTCCCCTCGGAATCTTGCTTATCCGGTAAATGACATCATTGATCTTCTCCATATTGAGGTACGGACCTTCCCAAAACTGCTGAAACTTGGTAGAACAACCTTTTCGCTTTTTGGGATTATAGAGCCAGACTTTGTCGTCCTTCTTAAACCACCCCTTTTCGGCTTGCGTATCGTACCGTTTCTTCATTCGATCACTAGCGATCTGAAGATGAGAACGTTGTTCAGCAAACGGTAATCCACACAGAACGTCGTCGTTCCGTCTTAATTTTTAACCAGGACCACCGGAGAGACTCATGGGCTCGTAGAAGCTTCTATCACCCCGTCTTTCTTCATTTCCTGAACAATCGTTTCAGCTTCCTCTCTCTTCGCCTGTGGTAATCGTCGAGCTGTTTGACGAATTGGCTTAGCATTACCAGTATCAATTTTATGTTTGACAACGGTAGTCCTTCCCGTCTTTCCTCCTTTCGGTACGAAAATATCACGATACTGCCGAAGAAATTCCCTTAATTTCCTTTTCTCAATCTGCTTTAGAGAGTGTCTAGAATCTGCAACCATTTGGTCGAATTTGTCGTTGGAATTATCAGATGTTGTCGTCTGTTCCTACTCTCGTCTCTTTCTTGATGGCCACAGGGTAGTCATTGATATTGATAAGTCTCACAGGAATTTCTTTAGCCGAAGTCACCAATTCCTTTCCAATTATGATTCTACAGCCAATCTCGTCGTCATGGTTCCAAGGCTCTATCATAATAGGAATTCCTTTGTCCACAATTCACTTCTTGCAGACACGACTGTATCTTCTTTAACGACTGCTTGCATAGTGTTGTCATCATGTGAATGAAGAAATACCTCCTCGTTACCAACTTTGATTACCTTATTCTTAAAATCCAATTGGAATCCATGCGTATTCATTACGTCCACTCCTAATATAACATCCTCTTCGATGTCAGCGACTATAACAGTATGGACGAACTTTTCTGGTCCAATTCCTAATTGTACCTGGATTTCTCCATGAATGTTGGCATTTTCACCTGTACCGGTCCGCAGTCGCAACCTCGTTGGTAACAGTTTCTTACGGCTGTTTATAACTGTCAGGCATATAATGGTTCTGGTCGTTCCGGTATTCACCAACAATGTATGCTTTTTACCATTTATTTCTCCACCTACATAGACACCATCTTCACGACATTTCAAAGAAGCTATTAGTATGAGGGGGTCTTTGGAAAAGTTCTGGGTCGAAGCTGCCCCCCTAAGGCCGACCCGTTCTAGTTTTCCTAATGGTGAGTTTCTTGATTTGCGTCGTACTTAGAATACTTACAGAAACTTCGTACGTGTCCTATTTCGCCACAATTCCAGCATCTTATGGTCTTCGGTTTCTTGTATGTCATGATTTTTATCATATTAACGAGCTGGTCAAGTTTATCTTCATCTTCTTCCTCTTTTACAGTCCTAACTTTACTGTACCCGCCAGAGGTCTGCGTAGCTGACTCGTATTCGAGGGCGGATAAGACATCAACCAGCGTCTTGTGACGAGCTAATCGTAGTGTTCTCTGCATTTCATGATCACGAAGACCATCAATAAACATTTGAACGGTCAACTTTTCCATCATGTCTTCGGGACCTGTTGGATAAGCATATCGTACCAATCTGGCAATATCTACCTCATATTCTTGAAGAGTCTCATCTTTCTTTTGACTTCGATTTTTAAGCTGCGACTGATATACATGCTCCAAGTGTTCGTTGCCATATGGCATATTTAACCTCTTCATAAGTTGTTCGAAATCATCCGTCTCCTCTACGGCTATGGTTTGGAGCACATCTAAGGCATCTCCTCGAAGAGCGATAGTCAGGTTTACAGCCTTTTCTTTTTCAGACCATCCATTCGCTCTTGCAGCTGATTTGAACTGTTTCATGTAGTTGTTCCATTATGATTTTCCGTCGAAAGTTGGGACTTTGACATGAACAGAACTTCCACTTCTTTCAAACGTCGGCCGTGTTTCCAACTCACATTTCGTCTTGTATGATGTTTTTACACGATTCCCATTCTCTGTTTATATCCTCGTGCTTTAGTCTGTTTTCTAGCCTTCCTTTTATATACTCTTTGTATTTTGCATTTTTGCTGTTGTCTGCTAAGTATTTTATTTCATATTTTTCAATTTTGGATCCTTCTTCTTTTTTATATCTTCCATCTATAACAACGTCAAAAGAAGAGGTTAAAGAAAGAGATAAAGAAAAAATAGAGGGAAAGAGAGAACTAGACGGAGCAGCATACATCCCGTTATATCCCAATTTTCTTGCACTAAATCTCCCCAAATTGACCTTCCCATAATTAAGGTAGAACCTTTCGTAGACTTGTTGACGTATATTTGCGTTGAGCGATGGAACGAGAGAGAAAGATATGCGGAGACGAGCAAACAAGAAGGTACATTAGTTTGAGGATTTCCTGTTCGGATTCGTTGTAATGTTATTCAGACAACGGCGACTATTAATCATTTCTAGAAAGTAACGTTTGTATGAGGCATTCCGGACAAGTTTCGAGCGAAGATTAGCAGGAATATTGAAATTCTTTCTGAAGTTTCGAAATGGCGCATTAGCTTTAAACAAGAAAGGATGAACGCGCATTCTGGGGCTATGAATGTAAAATGTGGGAAGACGAACCTTTAATAATTAAAATCCCTCTTCATAACTTTCTTTCCATTTATTTCTGCACTAATTAATTTGATTCATTAATATAATTAATACATTTAATTAATATTGTTAATCATTCTTTCCATAAACATCTCGAAGAAGATTTGTTATTAGCAGTACATTAACTAATTTTGATATCGATAAGCACTCCACATTTAGATTTTCCTTAACATATTTTTTTAATTTTATCACTTCCCTCGTGCAACCCTTCATTACCATTTCAGCGATTATTCGCTTTTCTACGTTTTTTATTAAAAAGAAAAACTTTTATAGTAATTTTCCCAAAAGAGGGCCTTTTGCTCGCCGATTCCCGCTAAATACATTATGAAGGTAAAAACTGCAAAAGGAAACCTCATTCAAAGAGGGAATTTAA